AGATCCCAAATGCACACCCACAGTAACCTACATCCTCCAGCCACACTCTACCTACCTTCTGCCCAGTTAGTCCCTAACAGAAAATTAATTTCCTGATTAGTTTAAGGCTCTCAATACTCAATCATTTCACCTTTGAACTTTCTTGCATTTTCTCACACATGAGCTTTCGGGAGACATTGAATGTCTAAACCATAACAGCAGATGACATCTAATTTATAGGTGGAAGTTCCCTTGTTCAGTAGTGAATCTGCAAAGCAGGTTACTCTGTAGTATCCTTAACAGAGTTTATAGAGGCAAAATCTTTGCCAGCAGAAACCTTGGCTCAATTGGCTGAGTTAATATCTTTAACATGAGCACTAATTCTTAGTAAAGATAAATATGCTACAATATAACTGACTCCAAATATGCATTCTTAGTTCTACATGCATATTGTAAATTGTAAAAATAGTATTATAAAATATGGACTACAGATTTTGGAATCATTAGAAGTTTTCTACTTTTCCAAAAAGGTAGCTGTCATTCATTGTGAGGGACCCCAGAAAGGAGATAGGGAGGTTGCCCAAGGCAGTAACTTAGCTGATAAAGCAGCTAAAGCAGCTGCTTTCAACACAGAGACAGTAGCTGCACTAATTTCCACCTCAGCAATAGAATCTTATACTCCCATTTATACATTAGAGGAAAAAGAATGGGCCATAAGTTATAGCAACACTCAAGACACAGAAAGATGGCTATATCTAGGTAAAGTATACACCTTTCCCATATTCAGTGGAAGGTCCTTAGAGAGTTAGTTACATGATTCCTGAAATTCTGGCAAAGCCAATATGATAACTCTGTGCAAATAATTATTTAGTGAGCAGAGACTAAGACCACAGAATAAGTAATTCAGGCATGTGAGATATGTGCCCTCAATAATCACAAGCATGAGAACTCCAGGTTTAGTCTCACCAGCTCAAAGAAATAATCATTACCAGGAGAAGATTGGCAATTAGATTCTTCCCAAATGCCTCCCTGTCAGGGATTTAAGTATGTGTTAGTCATGATAGATAACTTCACTGGATGGGTTGAAGTTTTCTCCTAAAAAGAACTGAGAGGGTCACTGAAGTAATCAGCCCATCCAGTGACATCTACCATGGATAATAAATGACATTGCCATAAAGGAAGAACAAACTCAATCAATAAAATTTGTGACAGAGTTAGGACAATTTCAGCAGACACTAAAGGAATTTAGGGAACAACTTCTTTCCTCTACTGCAGCTTCTCAACCTTTATTCCCTCCTAGGATCCAGATTCTAATTAAGTGTTCCAAAGATCATCAATCCAAGCCCCAATTAAACTCTATCTGGAGGGGGCCTTTCCCTGTAGTATTATCTACTCCAATAACTATCAAGGTTCCAGGAATCTCCAAGTGGATCCATCACTACTGAGTCAAGCTGTGGACTAAAAAAGATGATCCCAACAAGTATCTAGAGACCCCCCCCCCACACACACACCAACTAACCTGTACCCTGATAAAAGATCTATGACACCTTTTTACTAAAACTTAACCGAAATATATGAGTTCTACTTGGGATCCACACATTTCCTTTTACCCTCTTCCTCAACATCAGTGGCCTCCTATTAGAATTTTGAATGTATTAGGATTCACAGTAGGTATTATACTGCATATCATTGAACTATAACATGAATAGTCTGAACTTTTTCCTCCTCCTGTCAAACTTTAGTTAAACTAAAGGTGCTAACTCTTTTATAAGTTGAGCCCAACATCATGCCCAAGAAGTTAATTAGACTAATTGCCAGATCTGTGAATTAATGCCTCCTTGTATCACCTCAGGGCTGTCCTGGTGGGATTCCTCTTTGTAAGGACAAGAGTGGCTAGCCCTACAAAGATATATCCTAGAGGAATATTGGGCTACAGATGGATGCTATAAATTCAGGACTTGGTGGATTATATCTCAATGACATTGAGGATGTTTCCACTCCAGGCTGTGGCTGATGCTTCACTGAGGGAGCTACTTTTGAACAGACAAATGAAATACTTCTGGGAGCTGCAGGGGCAATGGGCAGCCTCTCTAACCAATCCTGCTAACACTGCAAATTTAAAACACTAATGGACAAGACGAGCCTTCCATTGGTATGATCACCTGGCTTCTATATTTATTCTTTCATTAAGAGTCAAAGAGGTAATTTGGCCTGTAGAATCCTAAGTACACACAAGGACTCTCAATTACACAGCTCAAGGAATAGAATTATTAAACTCAGAAATCACAAAGATGAGATAGGCTGTATTCCAAAATCAGATGACTCTTGATGTTTTAACTGCAGCTCAAGGAGGAACGTGCTATCGTGTTGTGTATACATTTCCGGCAATCCTGGCAATATTTCTGGTATTGTCCAGGTTAGTAAAACTCAATTATCACCGATGGAGGACTCAACCCTGTCTTTTCTAGACTATTGGAATAATTTGTTTGGCGTCTCTTATTGGTGGAAGGACCTTCTCATGACTTGTTTTTAAATCATCCTAGCTAGTATTTCATATGTTGCCTTGCCCGTTGTCCCCCAGTACTACTTGACAATTGTTATTCCCCAGCTCCTATAAGGAATATAGTACACTGATCAATAGATGACTCCTCCTTCTACTATGGACCCTTGGACCATCCTCACTCACCTGGCAGAAAGCAAGGACTTTGGGTTTCCTTCCCCTAAATGCTGCAACTTTCATCAGGAATCAGCCATAATTAGTCACAGTCAATTAATCTTAAAGAGTTTAGGGGTTCTTGTCCTCAAGAGGGAAATGTTAAGTAGATTAGTTAGCCATGAACAGTTAGGTAGAGGGAGATATTAAGCCCATGCATCAAGAAAAATCCAAGAGCCATAAAACTGAAACAGCAGGGATCATTATCTAAACAGGAAAGCATTTGGGAATGCCCAACCTTCCCCAAGATGTGGAGAATTATAACCCCTTGAAGAAAGTATTAATTAAATCCCAGGGACTCTAACTGAAACACATAAGCATCAGAGAAGTAGGGTCTGGTATGTCAAGATCTCCCTCACAACCTGTTTCCAGAAAAATGTTCCCATCCTCTCTTGTGACCAAGTACCTGGAAACTTCCCTTATGGTAAAACTATGTCACAACTACCCAATCACCCCGACGATCAGCATATTGAGACCCTCAAAAGGCAAGTTTGCTGAGGGCCATCCAAAGGGTAATAAACCCATTAAGGGGAAAAGAGAAATTGAAGCAAGAACAAGGGACTCAGGTTCCTTAAAATCTCCAAACCTGTGTGCACACCGTCCTTTCTTGGAGGTGGTCTGTGCATACCCCATGCTGTATGTTACCTTCACTTCTCATTCTATTAAACTTTTGCTTACAACTCTGTGTTTTGTTTGAATTCTTTTCAGTAGAGTCACAAGAACCATTACCCAAGGACTAGGTGGTTAGCCTGGCAGGCATCCAGCCATGAAACAATTTGACAGAGTCTTTTTAAAAACCATTTTATTAGAGTATTATAGTCATACATAGTAGTTGGGTTCATTTTTTTTACAAAATGGTACATACATGTATTCGGATAAAGGCAAAAATGAAAAAGAAATAGGTGAGCACTAGGAAAAGGTAGTATAAAATGGACTCCTCAAAAGGAATTCTCTTATTCCTTCCCTTCCCTAAATATCCCATCTCAGAAATGTATGCAAGTATCAGGCAGGTCTTTTTCTTTTTCTTTCCCTTTCTTTCTTTTTCTTTCATTTTTTCATTCTTTATTTTTACTTTGCTTTTTACTCTATTTCTTTCTTTCCTCTCTTTCTTCTTCCCTCTCTTCCTTCCTTCCTGCTTCTTACTCTTTTGCTTTCTCTGGAAGTTGGGGGTGGGGAGGCTGCATGTGGAGGGGAGAAAAGGCTATTCTGTGACTGACATTGATTTTGCCAACTATGACTTCTGTACAGCTGTGCTGGGCTCTGGAGTCATTCCCACATTTTTCTTCACTTTCCCTTCCTGTCTTACAGTGGTGCTGGTTCTTATGGGTATCCATCTCGGAGATACACAGAGGCAACGACTCCTCAAAATACATTAGAGATAAAGAAGTTGTTGCCTACTGTAATCAGAGCATCCCCCCTCAAATTGTAAAGAAAAAAAAATCTTCTGAATAAAATGAGAAGTCCAGACAATGATCTCATCAAAATGTGATACTTATGAATCCCCTCCACCCCCATGCAAGCTTGTACCTCAACTTTAGGAAGCTGGTGGGTGTGTGCAGAACAGAGCTAGAGAAAAGAAATATAAAATACATTTATTATTCAGGAATTAAAATAGATTGAGAAATTTCCAGTTAAAGTTATTTTTAGAAAGTGCATGCATATTGATATGTGTTTGTGTGTGTGTGTGTGTGTGTGTGTGTGTGTATATATATATATATATATATATATATATAAATAATATAAATTATATGGATGTACATATATACAAGGACATATTGCCAAAGGAATATTTACCTGTCAGAGATAAGCAATTGACAATGACTCTCTCTTAGACATTTTAATAGGAACCATCACAAGTAAATCAGACAAGTTATTCTGGGTATATTTGTGGTGATTTGGGAGTTTGGCACAATGTCTGAAAAAGATTGCCTGCCCTGAGCCCATCAGACAAGGTGATTCTCACACTAGACAATCTGAGAGCTTCAGTTGTTCTTTTTTATTTATTTTTGTCTCACAAAACCACACCCTTTTCTTACCTAACCCCTCTCTACCTAGGCTGAAAGTGCCAGGGTTCTGCTCCTTCCCCTCCCTCCCACCTCTCTCCCAGTCTTTAAAACCCCAGGGAACCGGTGTGATTTGAACCAGTCTGTGATTTGAATCCCTAGGTTGCTCCAGCAGTGAAACTAGACAGATTAGGAGCTGGGGCACATTTGGCAGAAAAGCAGCTCTTTGCTTTCTTCTTATGCTGCTTCCCCTTCCTCTTTTCCCAAATAGATATGTAAACACATGTATTTTCCTGTTTAAATTGAGCGAATTGGTCCTCTGCCTGTGCCTTGATTTAACTATTGGGCTGAGTCTTGCTCCTCCCTTCCCTACTCGGATAGGAGCCACTAGGATCTGGAGCCGGAGCTTCCAAATTGGAGCTGGCCTCAGGCCAGGTGACCTTTTCTTTGTAAGTTTCTTTCTTAACGGGGGGAGTGGTGGGGGGTGGGATCTGTTGGGTGTTGTGGTGGGGGGAGTGAGGAAGGGAGGGGCTGGAAGAGAGTAAAGGGCTGTTGTTAAACAGTTTCTTACCGTAAGAGGGAGTTCAGACCTAGATCTTTCCAGTTAATCACACAACAAACTTAGCTCATCGCAATAAAAAGCAGCTCAGAGCCGACTGGCTCTTTTAGGCACTGACTGCGAACAGGATTCTTTCACCAGGGCATCTCCTCCAGTGGGACCCACCAGCGCGTCCCGCAGCACCATGTGGGTGACCAAACTTCTGCCAGTCCTGCTGCTGCAGCACGTCCTCCTACATCTCCTTCTGCTTCCCATCGCCATCCCCTATGCAGGTTAGTTTTTTTTTTTTTTCTTATTATAATTATTATTTTAACTCTTGTCTTGCTAGCCTTCCCCTTTTCTTCTAACACACACTCTCTCTATTCCCAGCATCCTGGCTTAACTCAGTGTGTGGTATGGGTTTTCCAAACCTCTCATTATGCTTTCTTTTGACATTCTTTTTCTGTTTGAAAAGCATTTAAAATGATAATTAACATCCCCAGAGCACCCCTTCTTCCCCCTACCCCCACCAACCCAGCTTCATCTCATTTAGCCTAACAGTTGTGAATTATGGGATAAGAACGAAGTACTAAGACTGGCTGAAACTTTGTTGGTTTGGACAAATTAAAAAAGCTGAAGAGTCTGGTCCTAAGAGGGGAGAGGACTGGTCAGTCCAACAGAGACTCAGCTTTTTCCAGAGGACAATTTTCCAAGACAATTCACTACCCCACATCATCTAGTCAAGATGCAGAGCCAAATTATGACGTTATACAGGTTTTCCTTTAGAGCAGACAAATTAAACTCAGATTATATGCATGTTATAAAAATGAAAGAGAAAGCCTCTCTTCTAAGTTCTCATTCTTTCTGGGCATGGAATGCCTTCCCCCTGAAACTGCAGTGCCTGGGAGGCAAAAACTGTGTGTAACTTAGATCAAAGATGCAGTATTGCTCCTTTCAGGCTCCTACTTTCTTCCTTGGATTTGCAGGTTGCTCAGGAGTTGCTTGGGCATTCAGAGTGCCTGGAAGTTTAGAGATCTCATTTTATGGTGTGGGAAGTTTTCTCTTGTTATCAGGACAAGAGGAAACATCTGTATGTGGTGTATTATCATTGTGGTGACTGGGGTGCCAACAGTAGAAGGCAGTGAACGTCCAGGGTAGGCACAGGGGAATAAAAGACTGGAACGCATGCCCAGATGGCAGACATGGCTTTGTACAATGCAAAACAGAACTGGCTGAATCTCTTGAGATAAGTAAAGTATGGAATTTATCAGACTTCTGATCTCGTTTCTGAGATAATACAATGGTTGAAAACTTCAAGAATTTGCTAAGTGATAAGAAAAATTATTTAGCCTACCTGGCTTTCTTCTATTTGGGGAAGTGGCCCTTTTGGAAAATGAAACTGTTTGGAGCAGGTCAATTTATAGTCATGTAGGTAAGATCTGTGAGGAGGTGAGAAAGAAATTCATGCACATCAAGCAGTTTATCATTCTTGAGATGTGTCATGTTAAAATACATTCATATAAGTCATTACTAGTTTAGGGGATGTTGAGCAAAAGTTGAAATCATGGCTAGTGTTTTTGATGGTTTTCCCTTTAAAAGATTATAATTTGTTGTGCTGAAGTAGAATAAAATTTACCTGAAATCATCTGTGATAATGCAAGGAGAGCACAGTGTGGAAAACCCAAACAGTAGATTAACCATAGACAATGTCTATTTGTTTTTGGCATGCATTATGAAGTTTTGGCAGGAGATATACATTTGTAATTATATTTCACTTTGGCTAATGTTGAAATGACTGTGTTTCCTGACTATAGGGAGAAAGCAGCCCAAGTGTATGCTGGCAGGCAAGGAGAGGCCAGTTGAGAATTACAGATATATGTTATGAATAATTCCTGAAGTGGATAATGCTAAAATTATACTCAAAAGAGGGCCCGCCATTTTTGGGTGGCAAATTTAATTTGATAGTTAAAAAAAAATAAAAAATGGCTTCCACAATGAAAACTAGGTAGTCTTCTTACAGCGTATAAAGCTTGTTCTTTTTTAATGTATTTTAAAATTGAATATGTAGAGTTGTTGTTACTTATTTTTGTTTTCATTGTACTTTTTCATGTATTATATCAAATTAGCACACTGTTAGAAAAGAAGTGGGTACTGTAAGTTCACAGCAATGATGAACAGAATGCATCATGGAGATGCTTTCTTGAAAAGTTTCTTAGGTTCAATATGGTTGATCCAAGTGATCCTTATTGGAGTCATTGGAGATTGAATTACCTTCTCTTCATTTCTACTTACACTGGAAACAAACATCCAATCTTCTGTAACAAAAGAAGCATTAAATGTGTACCTAATGTCCAAGAGTCTTTGGGTAACATAAAGATAAACAAATGGGGAAGGGATCTATATTTTTTAAGCAACTGTTATAGAACAAGTTCTAAAGTATATTTTGTTTAGTTCTAATAAGATTGGCATTATTGGATTTATTTTACATGAAAAATTGAAGTTTAAATACCTTAATTGTCTTAATATCTTCATTAGTTAAGAGACAGAGATCAGATTCCACCAAGTCTATGTGAATGAAATGTGTAATTATTTTTCTTTTACTTATATTGAAGCCAGAAGCAGTAAAATCAAATGAAATGTACTTCTAAAATATCGTTTGGCTAAGATAGGTTAAAAAAAACCCCCTCTGTTTAGAAATGCTATTATACTATCATTGAGAGTTCATTCCTAGCTTAGTGAATCAAAGCAGGGTTAGGAGGTATATGGTATCCAAAAGTATGAAAAATGAGTGGTACCCTGGTGAGAACCTATGCTAGGAGGACAAAAGTGGCTAAAAGTGTAGAGGTGAGAAAGTATCACCACTGCCCCAGAAAGACCTCCACATGGAAAGTCACAGTAGGCATTTGGGAATCTGAGGGGGAGTCTGGCCTGTGACTGGAACAGTGAGATGAGATAGAATGAAAAGCCTACAGGCTACAACATGTGGTCTCTATAGTGAATATTGTGGGCAGCAGGTGAAAGTTTTGCATTGACAAGATGCTTGACTGAAGTCCTACTTCAGTGTGGTTACTTCAGTTGCTATGTGGACAGAGTTGTAGGCAGAAGTGGACAGTGACATCAGAGACTAGGATGGGGTTTCTATATCAATGAAACCCTGAACAAGGAAGGAGATGGAGAGAAATATTAAGGAGGCGTGTCAAGCCCCATTGATCACTTCATTTTATAAATCTCCATGGAAGAGATTATAATATTGCTTCTCAAAAAGCTACATTTGGTTTAAATCTGACCAATCTCCTTTTGTCATCCTTATTTGTGATTTGGTTACCTTTTCTAAAGAAGGGGAGATGATTGTTGATTCGTGACTGCTGAGCCCTGATTCTAACAGTGGAGATGGGAACTTTTATTTGTGATTCTCATCTCCAGCCACAATCCTTTCTTTCCATTAATTCTCATTATACTTTCATCTTAACATCTTGCCACTTCAAACTGTTAATCACTAATCATGGAGGTAGGTTTCTCAGAATATGTGGAGCCAAATTCCTTCTTCTCTTCACACCCTGCAAATCCTTTCCTTGCACTATTTTCCTTTGAAGTCAATGGTTAGTCCATATAGAGGAAAATATATGAGGTACTGAGAGAAATGAGTGTGAAACCCTGGGACCAGAGGGAGAAATGTGTCTTTCTTCAAGCACCTTGATACTTTTGACCCCGCTTTCTGTTTGTAGGTTTTCAATAGCATCCTAATGATTTCAGATCTAAAATAGGGACTTTAGGTTCTTCAGGAAATATAGCTTACAGAATATTTTCCCATACTGGGAGAAGTTTTTAAAAAAAAAGAGTTATGATTTAAAATACAGGAAAGCATGACAAATTTGCAGTGATCTCTTACCCTTTGATTTCAATTCAATATTTTGTTTATAAACTTCAACTAACAGTCACACACAAAAATAATAGGAAAAAATCTGATCCAAAGATATTTTTGAGTTTCTTCCCAAATGAAGCTTGGCTTTTAACTGTTTTTGGTAAAACAAGCATCAGTTGTTAATACATATGGAAGGCAAAGTTGCAACTATTTTCAGCAAAGAAATTTTCAGATGCTGTTTTCCAATGACTTATGTTTTGAATTTTCTCTTATTGAATAAGTGATTGATTTTATAGATACGTGGGTTGTCTGATATACAACTAGCTTGAACTTTATATTTTTTGTACTTAGTTACTGACCTAGAGTAAATGACTTATAAGGCAAAGTTTATATGCCAGGAGGAGTCAGTAGTGAGGAGGGAGGCTTGGTATCTGGTTCTGACTGTCCCTGCTGAGCTTTATAGCCCCAGATCAGCTTTTTACTTCTATTTATGATCTAATAAATGAAAATTATAGATTGGTTTGTTTTTCAGAATACTTTTTGATCTTTAGCCATGGAAAACTGACCAGTAATCAAGAATAGAGTATTTTATGTGATACAGCAGTAAGACCTTTCAATAGGGCAGCTGAGGATCTGTAGAATTAAATAAAACCAAGAAATTCACAGTGACCCCCTTTCTTCAAAATAGTCCTCATTTCTTATGTTCATATTGCATGGTATTAAGAAAGCAAACCAGACCCTTGATCAGGAGTTCTATTTTAAATGATAATTACTAAACTATATTAGGAATTTCATTTTGTCTTAGACTTTTTAAATGTATTTTTAAGCTCTTCTCTTACACTTTGACATGTTTAATAAATACATTATAAATACATTATACATCAGGAAAAAATTAGTTTTATATTTTTAGTCAATGGAATTCATTTGAGAAATATATATCGATTTTCCATCTTGGTGAACAGTGTTTTTAGTAGATTTTTCTCCATCAACCATCTAGTATTAATTTCTGGGAAATATTCAACCTTGCAAAGGAAATCAAATTATTATGCTATGAACTATTTCAGATCACCAAAGAAATAGTGATGTAAGATCAAAGGAAGTGAAAAGTCTAAATGGAAAAACTTATCTCCGATTAACATGGTCTGTGACAGAAACCAAACTTTGAAAAAGAATTATGTCTTCTTTGTTTAACAGAATAGCCTTTTATTCTCTGATGTCAGAAATTAAAGGATAAAATTTCTTTATTTTTTTCCTTTTTTGATGCTAGGAGATGCAACTTCAAAAACAAAACTAAAAATTTGCATATGCACATGGTTTTATCAAATTTATAAATTTATTTCCAAATATTTATTTAATGAGTATAGCTTAAATAATTCATTTTCATTCACTATTAATATATTTTTCATTTTGTAAATTAATTGGTACATTAATGGTTCAGGTAGTTAAATCATTTGGCCAGAATTATCATCTCTCTGCCAATGTTATACAAGGCATTTGGCCCCATTTTCATTAAATAGCATTGATAGATCATTTGGTTGATTGAATTTTTATGTTAAAATATCTTTTAACCTATATCTATTGTACCATAGCCCAATAGCCATTCTATCTTAAAGGGCAAAGAAAAGCAAAAAATAAAAATATAAAGAAGAAAAAGAAAAATGAAAGTATCCTTATAGGAATTACACCAGTGTTTAGGAGATTGTTTTAAAGTTTTACAGAGAACCAAAAATTTAAAATACTTTATGCTTTCTCTATTTATTGTGGGCTTCAGGTTAAGAGAGACTTTAATAAATAGCATCTGCATGTTTAGTAAACCAACTAGAGCCAGTTGTTTCTGGCAAACTCAGGATGTGATGCCATTCTTGGTACCTCACTCTGCTAGCCAGATTTCCAAATTTTCTACACAGAGTATTTCACCATTTTTTTTTTTTTTGACACATTTGTACCACATAAAGATCAGGAATACATGTCCTGTTCTACCATCCAAGTTTCTTCTGAATTGATAGCTGTGAACCGAATCTTCAGTGTTTACAAATCATATTTCCGCAGACATTCTTGACAATTCTTAGATAAAGATGGCATGGCGAGTAGTTCAGAGTTGTAATTCTGAAGGCGGGCAGCTGGCTTTTCAATCTGAGATCTTCTAAGTGCGTCAATTAATTTTTCCCTGGTTGTTGGTTTCTTTGCTTTGAAAATGAAGGCATCATTACTGCCTTTGTTATAAGGATGTTCAAGAGATTGACAGGCAAAGGGGCCCAATCATGTTCATACCTGTTATATGACAGCTGTAATCTATAAAATATTTTGATCCATATTATAAAGATGATGATCATTATTAGACTTGGGAAAACCAAGAATAAAGCAATACGTTTTTGAACTATTAAGTTATCCATAAGATTAAGACTAGAGGATGTTTTGGTTCTGTTTTTCAGGTTTTTAGTAGGAGGGTTCATGTTATCTTAGGGTTTTATATTTTCATGAAGAAAAATGATATTGCTACATTAAAGGATGAAGTTTTACATACATTTGATTTACAGCATTTGGCTTGATCTCAAGACAAACAGTTCAGTGATAGTAAGAGATAATGCCCTAAAGCACAGAAAACATTTATGTTGTAAATGAGAAGAGAGGGCTAAAATATGAAAAGTATGAAACAATTTCAAAAGCAGATCAGAAGAATTTGTCCACTGTGTTTTTTAGTGAAAAGTTTCTCACTTTGAATTGTCTTACTGATTAACACTCAACTCACAGAAGAACCAATTTTAGAAAGAAAATGGAAAATTTAATTATGAAGCATGGCATGGTATGGTCTTTGCACAGATGCTTGCTTGCATGCTGGTGGGAGAATATAACTTCTTTAGGGTGAACTCCATCCTAATTACTTAACAACTGTTTCCATAGGGTTATTTATTTATTTTTTTTTAGCATGAACTGTATTCTTATTTTGAAATGCATCCTTCACTTGAAAGAAATGTAGATCCGTGACTCCATATGACAAGTAGTCTTCTCTTGCTCTTAACTATTCCCTAACTCACTCCACCCCCCAGTCCTGGAGATCTAGTATATTACTGAATAAAATTGCTGTAGGTAATCTTTAAGCACTTGTTTTTCTATATAAGCCTTACAAGGATTTCTCCTATATTTATTTTTTATTTTTTGCATTAATAGAGGGACAGAAGAAAAGAAGAAATACACTCCATGAATTCAAAAAGTCAGCTAAGACAACTCTAATCAAAGAAGACCCATTACTGAAGATTAAAACCAAAAAAATGAATACTCCAGACCAATGTGCCAATAGATGTATTAGGAATAAAGGACTTCCATTCACTTGCAAGTAAGTTTTTGAATTTCCTTCTTAAGATACTTCCCCAAATATTGTGTACACATAAATTTATATACATTGTAACTGTGTTTTACTTTTTTCTCTCTCTCTCTCTCTCTTTTGTATTCAAAATATGTACTTTGCCCATTAAACTAAATTGAATTCTAGATTTACCTCATTATAATAGAAGACGTATCTTTCAGTTGAGGGAGGTATGTCTTGAGTGAAAGAGTACAAAAACCACCTTCTAAAATCCAGTGTCCTTGATTTTTGATTTTTTTTTTCTTTTGTTTTCTCATCTTATGCACAATCTAACTAAAATCAAATTAAATTGACTTTTATCTCTCCAACATTTAAAAAATATTCTATTAAGAATAAACCATTTCTTTTCCCTTGCAAAAGAAGTGAAGAAAATTGGGCAACAGCCAAAATTTACTGCAACTTATACAGTTGTCTTCAGGGATTTAAATAAAAGGTGTTGAGTGAGTTAGATAAAAAACTAGAGGGATTGGTGTCAGCAGCAGAGCCTGTTTAAAAGAAGTTAGGGGATAGTGATGATGAAGTCTCACATGAAAAATGATTGAGCATTTCAAGGAGGCTGGAGGGGACTGAACTAGACAGTTTCTTATCTTTTACCAGTCTCCATGTGACCTCATAGGGAAGAATTCCTTACTGTTTTGCCAGTGATCCCAGTGGATAAGACATAGCTTGGGGCCAGAATGGTGATGATTTCATCTCAATAGTCTTCCAAACTGCCAGGAGGAGGTGTATTTCCTTATTCTTCTTTGTAAAAATTCTCTCTTTTCATTTATTTCTCTTCTTTCATTCCCAATTTTATCTCCTTTTAAAAACAGGATTGTGTGTAAAATTCTGAAATTTTTAACCCTAGCTTATTACATTTGAATAGTGACACCGAATGTGTTAACACAGGGTTTAGCAATATGTCATGACAAGAAGTACTACTTTTATCTCATCAGTCTTCGAGGAATGAACATTATAGACCTGCAGGCATAGGGCATTGTTTCAATCAGCTTTTTCCATACTGTGACCAAAAAAATGTGTCAAGAACAACAGAGAGGAGGGAAAGTTTATTTTGGCTCATGGTTTCAGAGTTGATCAGTCCATGGTTGGCCAACTCCATAACTCTGGACCCGAGGTGAGGCAAAACATATTGGGGGAAGAGCATGGTGGAGGAAAGCAGTTCAAGACATGGCAACAAGGAAGGAAACAGAGTGGGGGAGGATGGGGGAGGGAGCTCACTGCTTACCAGGGGCAAAATATAAACCCCAAGGGCATAATCTAAATGACCTATTTCTTCCAGCCATACATTACTTGCCTAGAGTTATAGCCCAGTTAATCCAGATCAGTGGATTAATCTCCCTTCTTGCATTGTCTCACACATGATCTTCAGGGGAAGGCCTCATATCTATACCAAAACATGGCCAAAGAATGTCTTCAACAGATTTAGACAGAAGAAGGACTATCTCTTTTCTTTTTCTATAGCCAAGCTATTACTTTCAGGGAAATATTTCCTGGCAAAGGGAATGAGAATTGACTTTGCTTGTATGATTATTTTGCTACAATTAACACAATTATTTAATTCTGTTTCATTCCCCGTCTTTTATATAAAGCCTTGAGACTGTTAGAAATAAATTAGGAAAAATTACTTTCAGTCAACATCTCAGCTCTGTAGATTTATCTAGATGTTCTTTTGGCAATTGAATAGGTTGGCATTGTATTTTCTTCCTCAGGGTTCGAAAAGGATAACTGTATTTCATGGTTGATTTTTAACTATAAATCTGAAAACATATTCTCCTTGGTCTAAAAGTAACAAAAGTATCGCTAACACTGAATATTCACATTCATCATTCTTACTTTGTTTTATTTAGTAGAGGCTAAGATGATTTTGCTGCTTTGAAAATGTCACGTTGGCCTTATTAATAAATACTCTAATATCTCATTTATATAAAGTTTGAGATTTTCTTATCAAATTCTTGTTGAGTTATATTTTATATTCAAATATATGTTGACCTATGCAGAAAACCACATGTAATATTGCGTACGTACAGACAAGGTTCTTCTGCCCATTAATGGTAAAATTTTCACATGTCCCTAAATACAGCAGTTATTTAGAATTGAAAGGACATATTGAAATTTGGTTCTTTTTAAAATTTATTCTTTAGTTGGACACAATATATTTATTTATTTTTATGTGGTGCTGAGGATCTAACCTAGGGTCTCACACATGCTAGGCGAGCACTCTACTGCTGAGCCACAACCCCAGCCCATTGGTTTTTTTTTTTTTTTTGCCAAGAAAAAAATTGCAATTTATTAAAATTCAACAAAGCGTTGTACTGTTGAAAGCAACTTTCGGTGCATGTTCTTCAACAATCACATTCTATGAGGAAAAACATTAAGAGCCACAAACTTGTTTTTTAATCTCAGAGTTACAGACATCTTAAATTCAAAATAAAAGGTCAAAAAAAAAAAAAAAAAAAAAAAAAAAAAAACAAAAAAAAAAAATAAATCCCCAACAAAACCCCCAAATAAACAGATTCTTTCTTCCATTCCCCAAATTTAAAACATTGGGAGTTTTCTCTACGACTCAGGGCTAAATGGCAGCACGGGAGCTGTATGACTGAGTGCTCACGCACGCACACGCGCGCACACACACGCGCACGTATATTTGATATGCATATCAAATATGTAGGATGCATGTACTGGCAATGCGATGCTCACTCTGAGGAGGGGTCGTCAGCTAGATGCACTACTAAGCTTGAGGGAAGTTCTGAACCTAGGTTGTGCATAGTTCATGATCCTCTGTAAAACCAGCTTTTGTTGATCTGCAATCTTGCAGGACTTTTTTTTTTTCTATTTTTTTTTTTAATTTTGTTTTTTTGTTTTGATAAAACCATTAAAAAGCTAATTAAAAAAAAATGTAATGCACAGGTTTCCTGATAGAGCAGGCAGGGAGCACAATGTCCACAGACTTTTTAAAAACATACTGGAGGGTATGTTATTCCATTGTCTTTCTTCCTTGCAAAACAATCAAAACATTGATCATTTTTAAAACATAAAGCAATTTTTAATATATAAAGCACTCTTCAAACATCTATTTCTTTTGAGTCCATTATTTGGTAAATATGTAACTGCTACACATTAGAGATTAGGTATTTTTCATCTTTGTGGTTTTTTTTTCTTTTTTTAAATTTTTATCATTTTTTTTAATAACATCTTCAGTGCTAGGAGTTGGGTTTAAAAATACATGAAATGGTGTGGAGCTGCCCTCGGGAGCCCTGGCTTTCCTGAGAGCGCGTCCGGCATGTGCAAGACAGTGACCACAGCGCCTCGTCACCTCGACGAAGGGGCGAGGACAGTCGACAGAGTCCACGACGACGGCCGAAGGGGGACGACCTTTTTTTCTCCTTCAGACTTTAAAATAAAAATTTTAAAAAGGAATTTAAAAAAAGAAAAAAGAAAGAAAGAAAAAAAAAAGACTTCGGTCGTAAAGAACCCTATTTTCAGAATGCAGACGCGCTACTTCAGAGCTCTGGGATTGGACACTGCCATTGGTTCTTAATGAATCAAAAAAATCCTGTTTCCAGAGTTGTCATAGGACTAAAAAGTGATGAAAACCACACTACTTGGAAAACATCAAGAAAGTTGTGTAAAGTGAGGCAGAGGTATAGAACATTCTCAAACACTATTACCTCTTGAGCAGGAATCAACAGTGTTGATGTTATAGGAACTGCGTTCCTCTTTGCTAGGTAGAAAGATGACAGAAAGCCTGGTTCTAAGCTCTCCAGAAAATGGCTCTCCAAATTCATGAACTGACTTAAGAAAACAGGAGTCTTTTTTCTTCTAGCCATGACTGCCTGGTAATGAAGTTGCCCTCCAGACATAAAACGACTAGAAAATAGAAAAAAGTCATTTTTTAAAACAATATGGTAATCTAAATAAAGCTCAGATTAAAAACTCTTAAAGTCATATTTGAAAGAAAATACAACCATGTAATTGACAGTCTCAAACACTCCATATGGATGTGTAAAACAACGTTTTAAAATGCTATTCTTAGAGAATATATTGTTATAACGGAATGAGAGAAAGGTTTAATGAGATTAGCAACTGAAAACTCTGAACTCTGTACCAATACTTTTCATTCATTAATTCCTCCTTCCTTCCTTCCTTCCTTCCTTCCTTCCTTCCTTCCTTTCTTTTTCTTTTTGGTTCCTTTTAAATATACATTACTGTAGAGTGTATTTTGACATATTATACATACATAGAGTATAACTTATTCTAATTAGAGTCCCAGATTTTACCCACTTTCTAAAAAAAAAATATTTTTTTTTTTTTTTTTTAGCAATTTTGGGGGTATTTATCATTTTGTTTTAGATAAAAATTTTATGAACCAGAACAGCAAAATCTAGTATGATTCTTAGCTATGGTTATGTAGGAGTGACACGTTTTAGCAATTTTCCTTAAGATGATACATCAAAAGCATATTCTCTAACACTTACATTTTTTTTATTAAAATGCCTATGCAAGAAAACTTATTTAGGAAATAGTGATTTGAGCAAACAAAATTATCCTCATAGCAAGATTTTTATAGCCTTCAATAATCTCTAGTATATCATGACTCACCAAGAAGGGATATTATATGTGAAAAATTTTAAACATTTGATTTCAGAACATTCTTTCCTAGGAGAATCTCCAGAAGTGGTCATTTGTCTAATGCACCTTAGGAAATACATTTAAAAATCTATTTAGTACAATTACAAACTTTGGAACCTCATTCCGATATCTCAAATAATTTGTATGTAACTGCAAATAAAATCTAACCTGGTGGGTATTTAATAAAAAGTCTTCACAGATAACCAGGTAGTTGTGTTACATATTGACATTGCTGGTTGAAGCTCTTATTTTTCTACAAGTAATTTGGAATAACATGAGAACATTGCAAATAGCATTTGAATTGATATAAAATCCATACCTACAAAACATTTTTTTTTCCTCATCTGGCATCAAAATGGTCAGTTTGAAATTACTTATGATTTTATTATGAGTATACAGTAATGCCTCTGTTTTTATGTATTGTCCTCCTTGGTAAACCATATGCTGTTCTTTCAAAATTATATAAATAGTAGTATTCCTTCTTTTCATTCAGATATTTTTTTTCAGGGCTTTTGTTTTTGATAAAACAAGGAAACGATGCCTCTGGTTGCCTTTCAATAGCATGTCAAGTGGAGTAAAAAAAGAGTTCGGCCATGAGTTTGACCTCTATGAAAACAAAGGTAACTGACATTTTCCTAAATATTTCATAATGAAATAAAATATGAAATAACACATCTGTCACTTCCTGCCTCCCTGCTTTTCCCCACTGATGTTTCCATTATATGATAATATGTTATTGCAGTTAATTCATCCATTAAGCCTGATGAAAGGAGTACCCTATTTTTAGAATATTTCCCCAATTTTCTATAAACTAGATGTCCTCCTTCCTCTTTGGCGTTTTTGAAGGGGCATCTCTTAGAACTGGTATTCTTCCTATTCTCCTATTTTAGAAAGTATCTCCTTATCTTATTAGATTAAGTACCCTGTATTGTGTTGAATTTTTAGCTTATAGACTTTTAATTTTAAGAACTTTGGATATCTAATCTATTATAGTGAATTGATAAGAAATAAAATATGGAGATTCTGGACAAATAAATTGGATCTATACCTAATCATATAGTTTAAAAAAATTTTTAAATAGGGTATAATTAATATGTACCAATAAAAAAATGGTTTAAAGTATTTTTCTATTTTTTTAAGTTGTAGATGGATACAATATCTTTATTTTATTTATTTAGATATGGTGCTGAGGATTGAACCCAGTGCCTCATAATTCCGAGGCAAGGGCTCTGCCAATGAGCCACAATCCCAGCCAGGTTTAAAACATTTTTAAAAAGGGATTTAGACTGTATTATTTGTTAATTTCTCTCTTCTGGTGGTCTGATATTGAACTCACAATATATTTACATTGTTCAAAAGCAGAATTATGTAAATTAAATCATAAAATATTAAATAAATATCAATTTACAAATCAAATCTCCCATAATAGAAAACAATAATTATGGATTATACACATGAAAATAACTTTTATTTTAAAATTAGTGTTTTCAAAAAACATGATGTGTCCTATTAAATTTGGTTATTTGTTACTATATATAGATTTTTTGTGTTGATGGGTTAATGTTTAACTAAAATTAAAAGGAAATTGATGGTAGAAAATAAGGTAATCTTTCTACATATTGTAATAATTCTGCAAATCCACAAACAACTCATAATCTAACCTAAGAGCATTCTAATTCATTTTTTCTTTTAGTTTGTTAACAGCTATAGTACTATTATTTGATAGAAATATGCAGCTTCTTAAAATTCAGCTTTCTTGTAATTTAGCAGCTTAAATATTGGAGAAAATATGAAAAATAGTAATCAAACTAATATAATTATCATATATATATATCACACAATTTTACCTAGTTAAAAAAAGAAATTAATTTTGTTATCTTAAACTTCTGAATTCAAAACAGAGTTTAAGAATCAATTTTTATTTTTAATATTTTCTTTAGACTATGCACATGAGCAAATCACAATGGCCTGGCTACTTGAGAATATAGACTATTATTCTGTGTTAAGTATAAAGATTGATCTCTGTGGTTATCTATGTTTAATATACTCACAAAATTAAAGCTTCTCAATAGTCTTCCTGTTTGTTTTAGATTATTCTGAAATCTGTTATTTTGAAAATAGTAGAAGCTTTAGGAAAGACATGTCTGTGTTATTTGAAATAGTTGAACAGAGTTAATTTCTTACAGATTTAAATGGAATTTTATTTTTTTCTTTAATAAATACAGCATACAAAAACCCACACAATATTAATAAGGTTAAAAAAAAGACACATTTTTACAACATTTTCTTTTGCTTCTTCAATAGACTACATTAGGAACTGCATCATTGGTAAAGGAGGCAGCTACAAGGGAACAGTGTCTATCACCAAGAGTGGCATCAAGTGCCAGCCCTGGAATTCCATGATACCCCATGAACACAGGTAAGAACAGCATGAAGAAAAGAGGATGTGGCCTCTGTCTTTTGCCTATTAACAATCTCACATTAGTCCATGTGAATGATTTTACAGTTCTATGAAAACTTGGTCAACATTGCTGAATTGTAAGAAATCAAGGCTTATGACTGATATTTACCAAAAGAATAACAAAGTTATATTAAAATGTGGCCTGCATTTTCTTACTTTAATGCTTAAATTTATTAATCTTGATGTTTGTGAACAAATAGTGAAAATATACGTTATGAGGAAAAAAGATTTTTCCTCTTTTTGCCTTTGAGAAAACACTATGTAGGTAAAGGGTTGATAGTGATAAATCAAAGTGTATCAGACTCGGACCTTATGTAGGCTAAGGGTACTTTAACGTTGGTGGATTCCAACTTTGCACATTAAAATCACCTATTGCAAGCCCTTGAAGAATCTTACCATGTGGAGAAACATAGCAGTTAAATCAATCCCTGGGGGGAATGGGATACCAGTGTGTTTTTGGCAGCTCCCCAGATGATTCCAAAGCACAACCGAAGCTGAGAAGCACAGCTAATAACTCATGCCTCAGAATTACTCCCTTCACTATTGTCTAAAAAAGGATAAAGAAAATTGGAAATTAAATGTCTACACTGAAGAGAATTGTGTTTATTATAATTGATGAGTACTATTTAAAGACTGGTAAACATAATATTCATAGGCTCATTAGATTTAATCATTGTGGAGGAAAAATATATGTATTTAGTACCTACCAGAGAACTAAATATAGACATGGTTTTACAAATTTATTTCACAAATAATTTTAACTGGAAATGAAGTTGTTTTGAAACAACTCTCCTCTGGTTAGTAAATACATTGGATGATTCAGTTTCCAGCGGCAAGTGCCTTGCTGAGCAGTTTACTGGTGTATCTCACACAGTCATGCAAACATTGTAGTGGGTTTTAGTTCTATTTAATATACATGGTGACACTGTAGCATAAAGAACCTTAGTGTATTTCTGTAAATAGTAAATAGTATAGTGATAAGCCCAATCAGTATCACTATGTAACCTGTGCTTGTAACAACTCTAGGGCACAAAATACTTGGCTTATCAGTAGGACACAGTCTGTGACACATTGTTGCAATACTAATGATGACTTGGCCTTGATGGATACACTTTTGATTTTATTCTGCTTTTTATTAGCATACGTTTATGATATGGTTGATATTGCTTTAGTAAACAGAGATTAGTTATTTGTCCCACATATAAAGAAAGAGTTCTTTCTCAATAGGACAAAACCCTGATCTTGCCTAGTTTACACCACCTAGTTCAGTGTCCAAGCTGAACCAGTTGACAGTATTTTAATAATAGAACATCCAAATACAATTTTATTTTATTTTATTTTTTGGTGCTGGTGATTGAACCCAGGGCCTTGGGCAGGCAAGGCAAGCACTCTACCAACTGAGCTATATCCCCAGCCCCATTTTAATAATAGAAAACTATTTTTTTCAAGTTAGTTTGTAACAGTTACATGGAAATATCTTGGAAACTATCTTTATGTTACAAAATGAGCAGTATAATTGACTTTTTCTTAAGGATCTGCATAATGAAGAAGACATTTTATTTAAATAGGTAGATCAAAGTGTTTCACAAACACAGAAATAGCATTTGAAATCAATCCTACCTTAGTCCAAGAGAGTGCATTGAACTGACATAGCAGAGGTCTTATTTCAATCCAAATTCTCTATGATTGTGATTCTTTGCTAGAGGAGTAAATGCGAAATGTATCTCTCTGGGAACTGGCTTCAAGTCTAATCAGCTATTTACCAAAGAACATTACCTGTGGTATAGAAGTTTATGGCTGAGGGGATATTGTATTATTAATCAAATTATTTTTGTATCCAATTGGAACAACATTTAATTTTAATCAATTAGCAGCTTATGGAATATCTGCTTGATAGCTTAATGCTTTTAAGTGTTAACTAAACACCAATTTTACGGGAAATAGAAAAAGAACTATGTTTGTGTCTGAAGGAGTGATTTACTGTTGACTCCCTAAATTGAAATATTTTACAAGTGGCTTAATGAAAAGATGATGATAGATGATGAAATTAGTATAGAAGCTTAACCAGAAAATCAGGTGACCTGATATCTACATCTATATCCTTCATTAACCATCCAGCATTCATTAAGGAAGCAGATGATGGAATAGATAAAGTTTCCTCGGAGCATAGTTTATATTAAAGAAAAGAAAGGGAGGCTAGCACCCAGAAGACCTAGTATATATTTCAAAATATATTTGGATATAACCCAATTTCAAATATTTCTTCTCTCCTAAAGCCTTGCTAACAGCAAGGACAGAGTACTAAAAATAGTACGTGTGTGACCAAAAGCTTATTACAGAGCCTACAGACCGGCACAGACCTTGTGTGAAATAGGCTTTTGTAAATATTTGTCACAAGAACACTCACAGGTGAAAAGGCAGGGCCAGCCTTCATCCCTTGACCATTTATGGGATGCTGAGGAAAGTCAGGCTAACCGTCTTGGGACACAAAAGAAAACCAGTTTGGGTAAAAGGTCAAATATACCAAAGAATGAAGAAAAGAGATGCCCCACACTGTTTTTTAACCTCAATGTTCTAAAGAGGCATCTGATATGGATTGATTCAGAATTGTGTCAAGAAGCCCAACTTTTCACTTTATGAAGTCTTTTGGGAAAACTTTATTCAAATTTTGACCATATCTTGTTTTAATTTCTACTTTATCTCTCTCTCTTCCTTTCTTCTTGTTTTTTTTTCCTCCATTAAATTATTGATTGACACATTCACTACTTAATAACTTCTCTTTGGCTTTGCAAATCCACTAGAAAGATGTATATGTATTTCTCTCTCTCTCTCTCTGTGTGTGTGTGTGTGTGTGTGTGTGTGTGTGTGTGCGTGCATGCATGGATTTAAAAATTCTCTTTAAGACTGTGGATATTGAATACGTGTTTATTGAATGTGTGCTAAAGCCACTAAACTTAATTTTAAAAGGACAGAAAAATGCAACATATAGTAATTTTGCTCGTCCCATTTATCCTTTAAATGAAGAAATTAAAACAATAGATAAATTGTTTAAGGACCATGTCATACACTAGTCAGGTGAAATATATGAGGCAACAATATGGTTTTGTGATATAACTACTTATTCTTACCACTCTACTTTTTATATATTATAGAGTTTTGGTAGAATTTTCGTAAGTAAGTTTGACTTCATGAATATAAGAAAGCAAAAGTCAGTTTTGATTGTCAAAAAAATGAGTATTATATAAATTTTCTATGACAATTTGAGGATAGGCCAAAAAATGAAAGAAAATAATTTCAGGGTGTCACAAACAAGAAAAGATAGACTAAAAAATATTCTGGAATGATGGAGCTAAGACAATAAAAGTTTTTTTTAAAATTAATAACTGTTAGAAACCACTGTGAAATTATGATGAGCTTTAATTATGACCTAATGTTTTATTTTTATTTTTGCACACTTACAATGTTAGTGAAGTAAGGCTATAAACTATCTAAAGACACTTTGGAGTTGCATAGTGTTTATAATATTTAATTTGGTTCATTGAAAATATTGACTCAATGATAAGTCTCTTAGAATAGGCTATTTCTTTTTGAGCACTAATTTATATTTTCAGAGGACTTGACTCTGGTTTATGTACATTCATGTCTAAATAAAAGAATTTTATTGCAAAACATCGCTTGGTACCTGACCTAGGCCTGCATACATTCTGTGTCATAACATTAAAAAATGCTTTTTTTCTTTTTGATTGACATATAATGTCTGTGTGTTTATGAGATGAAACATGATGATGCATGTATATATTGGCTAATGACCAGCCAAAGGTAATTAGCATATCCTTGGACTTTAAGTACATGTAGAATTCTGAGATTCTGAGATCAGCAAAGCAGAAATATTTTTTTGTAGCAAATACACAATAGAAAGGTGAAAATGAGAGATGATTTTCAAAAAAAGCTTTTTACTGGTATAATCTACAGATGTATATTCCTTTATTAATGATTTTTCTGTGCAGCCTAGCAGACAAATGTATCATCATTGAGTCCAATTTCATGAGTAATACAAAAATAATATATAGGCTTTGGCCTGTTCTGATGTGTTGGAATACTTTATGCTGGTAACAAAACTATCACAAAGGCACTAGAAATTTTAGGTGAAGGTAATGTACTGAAGTTACAGCACCCAATGGCTTACTATTAGAAGTTATATCTGGGAACAACAAGTCCCAGTTATAATCAATACTATAAAATTTTTTGAAGAGAATAAGCAATTGTGTTCTTTATTATGACATCATAGTGACTACAAGGTTGAATGTGCTTAATCATAGGCTGCATTTCTCAACTATCAATTACTCCATCATCCTTTGAACATCTTAAAACAACCACATAAAGTTATAGGATATGTTTGTACTCAGTGTGTATATAGTAAAACTAACAGGCTGGGAGAGGTTGCCTTTCTTGCTGGGTGTCACAGTTAGTAAGAGAAAGAGCTGACATGAGAGCCCAGATTGGATTCAGTTTTGTATTCTTTGTTCATGTTATTTCATCAATCTGTTTCTCAATTGTATAGAAGGGGGCGCTAGTCCTCAAAAGAAAAGCAGTGATCAGACAGCTAAGGACCTTGCATAAGCAGGGTAATGGTGAGATGTCGAAGTTGATTGCAGTGATTTCCCAGTTCTCTCTTTAGTGGCCTTGCCCAAGCACTTGCTGTCTTCCATTAGAGCTTTGGAATTGTATTTTTATGATACACCAATTACATGCTTGAGTATTTGCAGTTTAGAAAATCCAGATACTAATAATTCTTGATGTTGAATATGGAAGTTCGGTAAGGTAAACTTTAATAAAATTCAAGTATTTTATGAATATATGGAAATGACAAATTTAAGATATATGAAAGTATACATAAGAGACTTAAGGGTTTCTTTACTTTCAGAAAAATCTTACTATTAATTCATAAAATTAATAGGCCAAACATAAAGTTGCATGCTCTTATACTGTAATGATTATCATTTTAAAACTAGCTTTTTGCCTTCGAGCTATCGGGGTAAAGACCTACAGGAAAACTACTGTCGAAATCCTCGAGGGGAAGAAGGGGGACCATGGTGTTTCACAAGCAATCCAGAGGTACGCTACGAAGTCTGTGACATTCCTCAGTGTTCAGAAGGTAAATGAACCTGAATGCCGTGTGGGGACTCTATTCCCCTGTGTAGAACTGTAACTCACATTAAAGCTTAATAGGAGCAAATCAATTACAAATAAACATCTTGTTCATTCAAATGCAACCATAGATAATTATTTGAGCATTCTTACACAATGTTTTACAATCTGATGATTACCAGATTACTGCACAATAATGGAGCAAGCTATCCACTTGAATTTAAATGTCAGCCTGAGATATCCCTTTGGGGAAAAGTTAAAAGTGGGCTTACTTACCTGCTGTCTTAAGCTCACCTACCTCCAACTCTGCTTTCATGGATCACCTGAAAGGAGCTGAATGAAATTAGCTCTTTAGCAGTAATGGTAGGTCTGTTCATCCAGCACGTGCTTCTGTCTAGATTTGGTCAAAGCTGCTCTGATGTGGTATGTCCAAGGTCTGTGTACCCAGAAGAGAATATAACAGGGGCTCAGTGGAATGGAAGTTTGAAACCCTTGTGTACATTTCATTTAATGAAAATGTGACTAGAACCAAACTGGACACAGACTGGGACTGAGTGCCACTCAGAATAGTATCTGAAGAGATGGAAGCAGTGGGCCCCAAATTTTCTTGAAGTCAGGTACCCTAAACCCATGTCTATATATATTTTTTAACCAAATTCTCACAGCATAAAGAGTACTATTTTTACAATTTCAGTGGAAAATTGAGTGACTGACAAGATGGAATAATAACCATTTCAGCATTGTATGTGGTTTCAGTTTTCTTAGTCATTTGGTTACCGAATATCTGGGTTTTTCAACTCTGTCAAAAATCTATAATTCTCCAAATCCAAATGAGATATGGATAAATTATTTTAAAAGTTCATTAGGATTTTGCAGTCCTAGGGGAGGGGAAGGGACTGCTGGAATACTGACCAATTTTTATAATAAGATATTTTACCTGTTTATTAACCAAATATTTTTTTTTGAAAATATATCCTCCATGAGTATCCTTTTATATTAGGTTTATATATATCAAATAACAAGTAAAGGACATTGTTAGCTAATTGTCACAGAGAAGGCAAATGTGTTTTTTGTTATTAGTTAATTTATAATCCTTGACTTCATGTGGTGGAGCCAGTTTCATCTGTTTGTAAATTCTTACTTTTTATTCCATGTCATATTCTGTTCTATATAACTTCTTCATTGTTTTCTTTTCTTTTAAAAATAATAAACTTATCTGTGATAACATTATGAACAAGTCTGTTTTGTATGAATAAGTTGTAATTAATATTTGTCTTAAATTTGCACATGGAAGAAAAAAAAATCCTGTTTTAGGGGAATCTCCACTATCACAGAGATTGAAAAATCATTGGCAAGGAGTTTTGTTTATTTATCTAAAATTTTTTTTGACCTGTTAAAGTGTTTTCAAAGGTAGGTCATTTGATCAAATTTTATACAGTTTAGCATGTATGTTACCTGCCTAGTCCTGTGGGAATGATATTTTCAACCCCTGGTTGATAAGAAAAACCTTTATCAGAATACACTGATATAGATCTTGATGAATAGGCGATGGAGAATAAAAGTGTTATAAAATAAGTAATTTTTAAACTCCTATTTTCAGTTATCCTTATTAGAATGTAATTCTATAATATCCTTTAATAATTTGAGGTCATCCAACCTCCCCAGAAAGGGCATTGCTCGTCTGTATTAAAGGTCCATGACGTTTTCAGTCACCCCCGCACTAACGGTTGCAGATATGCTCTTTCTGGAAACCATTAGAGGTCTGACAATGGAATAGCCTTCTTTCAGGGGAAATGAAGGCTATTCACCTGCCCTGTAGGCTAAACATATTTCAGGGAATGTGAACTGAATCAGATATAAAATTCAAGTTTAAATTAAGCAATGTGTTAGTAGTATTTTAATGAAGAGGATTCAAAATAAGCAGCATTGTCAATACCAAGAGAAAAAGAGCTATTTATAAAATGATTTAAAAAAATACAAAAAAGAATGCAGATGTGATGTAAACGTCTACTAAATACATATATGATGGAGAAATCTCACAATCTGAAATGCTTAAATAGTATAATGGGTGGTCCATTTCTATCTATGGATATTAACTTATTAACTGGCAAGTATTAAAGGTTATGAATTAGGTAGTAATCCTCATTTTCTATATTTAAAATTACAGAGGAAAAAAATGGTAGTTAAACTTTTGGACTATTAAAATATATAGAAGAGTATGTATATTTAGATTTTTTTGTAATTATATTAAACTCTTGATTGAGTGATTGTCTGAAATTTGGCCAGAATTTTGGTTCATAAAATAATTATATGATATCTTGTTTGATATTATTTTCATACAATTTAAAACTTTGAAATATATTAATCACTCAAAAATAACTTCTTTTTTCACATTTAGCATCTCTCAGAAAGAAGGAGTAAGTTCAAAGGATCTATTGTATAACACGGTTACTAGGGTTAATAATAATGTGTTATATTCTTGAAAAACAGAGATTGAGTGTTAAATGTTCTTAGCACAAAAGCAATAACTGAGCTAAAACATATGTTAATTAATTGCTTTTAGTCCATCTACAATGTATATATGCTTTAAAACATCATAAGTGATAAAATATATACATATATACATATATATATAATTTTATATGCCAACATAAGAAAAAGAAAACATTACACAATTATGTAAAGAAAATACTACCAATAAATGCATAATTTAAAAGTATAGAAGGTTGAGGTACATAAAATTCCATTTATTGTTTTAGTACTTGGGATTTAAAATGCTCATCAGTCACTGGAACAAATGTCATGTTTAGTGATTGTCATGTACTCAATTAAGTATATTTTAAATAAATCATAATCATTATTTTTAAAATACCTTAAAATCCCAAACAACACTAACATAACTTTATGTGTATAATTTCATATTCCATGTGGAAAAAATCTTAAGAAATAGACTTAAATAAAACAATTTTCTGTAAGTGTGAATTTGTGAAACTATTCATATTTTAATCATTCAGTTTTGCTGAAGAAATTGCATGTATGGATTTTTCTGAGGGAGTACAATTACTGGAATAAAATAAACAGTGACTCAAAATAGATTCAGATACTTTGAATAATTGTTTTACTCTACAAACTCACAACACATGAGGTTTTATGATTGAGAAAAACAGTACACAATTTTTTATTGGGTTGGTATGATGATAAAGATGTTAAATTAATCCTGATTATATTACAATTTATGTGTAGTTTTTATAGTTTTCTACTATTATTTAGGTCAGAACAATTCTTAGACTATTGAACTGAAGAATAGTTTATGTGACATAGGATAGTACTTTGCTTTTATCTTTATTTTTAAAGGGAAGAACTTTCTGGAATGATTAAATAATGAACTGGCAGTGACAGACAGTGTCCAAGGACAATCCTCAAACCCCTTGCACCACTGCATAATTCATACTTTCACCTGTTTCCTTGGGTATGTGGACTTGGTTTCCACCTATACTGTTTTGATTGTGAGCTGTGAAAACTTATAAGATTCTTAGAATTTGCAAAGGTTGAAAACTAAGTTCAGAATTTTGGCCTTCTTGAGGTAATTTTTTTTTATTAACCTGAGAGTTTAATTCAATAGTAAAAAAGGCAAACTTTCTGGTTACTTACCTAGTATAAGTTGACCAATCTACTTGCTCTCCCATGGCCTTTTTTTCTCTATCCTCCAATAGGTGAGAATTCAACAGGAGGGTAACCTACTCTTCTAAAGAATAAGGCAGAAGCTAATGGAGATAATTTTGAATAAGGGAAGAATATTGACTTCCTAAAATTATCAGTTTATCTTAAAATATGGCCAGTTAGACTTTTTCAGAAACGTGTAAAAGTATATAGAACAAAACGAAAATTGGGACAATGGAAAGAACTGTAGACTGTGTGGGTCAGAAGACCTGTGTTCCAGACACAGGGTTGTCATTTTCTATTTTAGGTAAGTCTCTTAAAATTTGTGTGAGTTGTATTTTCTTCATTGTAGCAATCAAAGGATATCTTACATGTTAGCAGTATATAATAAGTAATCAAAATGATGCATATTTTAGCATCTCAGTTCTATCATAGGACACATTTAATTGCTATTCTTACAACTTTCATTGCCTTCCAAAATCTAATTATTTTTGCTAACTTGTATTTATTATTTTTTATCTCATTGGGCCAATAACCACAGCCATAACTCTCTGTTCACTTTATTACAAACAGAACATACTAGTTCATGTTTTCATACCATTTTATTGCAATTTTTCCTTTATTCCTTATCCAGCCTCATCTATCTTTCAAGATCCAAGTAAAATTCAGTCTCTCCTAAAAATCCAATGCCACCAAACACTTAGAACTTTAGAAGAGATCACAGTATCTACAAAATTGCTACTTAAAATGAGAGTCCAAGTACCAGCAGCAATAGCATCCCCTGATAGCTTATTATTAATGCCCAATCCAGAATCACTGAGTTAGAGTTTGCTTTTTAACAAGATTTGAAGGAGATTTTTATGCACATTAATGTTTGGAGAAGAATTGACCTACCACACTCATTCTAGAAAATAGTCATCTTATGGAATCATCTGTTTAATTTGTGTAGCTATCGTTTCCTAAGACCAATAAAATTCAACAAGTCTGAGAAGATGTTTTATAATAATGTTCATAGTATTGCTTCCCAGAAAATAACTCTATTGTCTCTCATTAGAAGGATATATACTATTACAAAATGCATTTGCTGAAGGAAATATAATAGATATATTCTGACTCCTGAGTATTATTGAAGAGTAGAAATTAGACATTTGGATGCTTACTTTTATGAATGACCATAGCTATCCTACTTTTTAAATTCAGTACAAAGGAGCAAACAACAATGATAAATGCTGCATCCTTTTCATTGAAGATATCAAATCATGAATTCTTTTTTTTAAAGGGGCACCAAATAAATCTACACTCCATTCAAATGAAAAGCTGAAATGTGATGATGTATAACCTCTTCTGAGCATTTCAATGAGGAATTGACTTTGGCTAACCTGAGCATCCTTATCAATATGTTCTTGAACCCCTCTGATTTACTTATTGAATGTATTCTGGGGAATCACAGTATCAAATGAGGGGAAGCTGAATAGATCCCTTGTCTTAGTTGTGAATTAACCTGCATGAAAAGAAGTAGATGGATCAAGTCAATAGATAGATCATGTGTTTCAGAAAGTTAATAGTTAATGTCCTGCTATGTTGTAAAAATGAGAGGTTCAAAAGTGATGATTCTAATATTATATTCCAAATTACTACCAATATACATTAGGCTAGATTCCAGTGGATAAAACTAAACATTGATATCTTTCCCTACTTCAGCTAAAGTTAGATGATCAGTAATCACAAGATACAAATGATGTGTCTGGGGAAATTTGCCGGATTCGTAGGAGAGCCAAGCAATGATTTATTTTGCAGGATGCATGCCTTGCTACAAATCAACCTTCTGTTTGTGAAGTCTCATTTTCAGCTAGTTGACGTGATTCAGAGTTTTCATTGTGACCTAAGAGACCAGCCAGAAGAGAACAATTAATTAACCTCACAAAATCATCAGTAAGATCCTGCATAATTAGATCAGCTTATACATTTTAAAAAGAGTGGGTACAAGGAGTTCAATAGCAGGTCATTTTCTATCCTGTGCTGGATAAGAATGTGAGCTTGCCCAGCCAACACAACATGGATGTTCACTAACAGAAAAGATCTGTGACTTCTTTCTTACTTTCTCTTTCTTTCTTCTTTCTAATCTGTGTCCTTTGAATTGCACCCAATTTCTGTCTGCAACTGGTTCCTTAAATACATTGGTTCCTGATTATTGAATTAACCATAAGAAAATACCATGTGCTCATTTTGAATGGTGCAATTACTATATGTGTATTTGGAGGGTGAGTTGAGAGAGGAACACTATTGTGCTAAAAATAGAGACACCAAGATCCTTGCATTTTAGACCAAAAAGAGAAAAATTTCCAATTGTCCATCTTATATTTTTGGTCTCTTTGTATTGACATACAGTTGGACAGTTACTGAAAAATTTTACAGTTAGCATCCTGGCCGTCAGGTGAATCTGTATGAGACTAACATACTTAAACTATATAATGAGTTCCATAGCATGTATTTTATGCCACTATTTATGGACATTAGTCCCCAATTTAAAATTAGGGTGGTTTGTAGGGTTGTCTAAAAATTTGTTTGCTGAGAAATTGATTTGCTGTTCTTTAAATGAAACAGTGGTGTTCTTGAGTTTGCTGTCAGAAACAATTAACATACCATACTTTAATTTTATTAGTTGAATGCATGACCTGCAATGGGGAAAGCTATCGAGGTCCCATGGATCATACAGAATCAGGCAAGATTTGTCAGCGCTGGGATCATCAGACACCACATCGACACAAATTCTTGCCCGAAAGGTAAAATACCAATGAACCTTGCTTCCCACGAATCTCTGTATAAACTGTTATTTGTTCCATTATAAGCTTCCTTGAAAACTCTTTGTATGATGTTTTAATGATGGGGCTTGAACATAGTTCAGAACTCCCCTGAATATATGGCCTTTTTCTGAAAGTGTTGTTGAAGCTGAATATTTGGGAGAGGTGTCTTTTGGGGAAAAAGGATTTATGATGAGGTATATGAGAATATTAGGTATACTTTTTATTGGTCTTGACTGACTAGTTGAGTCTCTAAAATCAGGAAGGTTTTGGACCAAGACTATAGTCAGGTACAAAGTAGAAGCAATAACAGAGCTTTCTTTAGCAAAAAAAAAAAAGAAAGAAAAACAGAGTCAGTTCAGTGATGACCACTTTTATAGGCCCAAACCACGAAAGGACTAATTACTCCTAAATGCAAGCAAATCTCCTTCCAGAGCTGCATCTTCAAAGATTCACATTCCATGGGTCATATGAGTGACACCTGAACTTAGGAGATGTCTCTAAAAAGTGAATGAAAACTAGTGCCAATAATGCATTAGCTGTTTTATCCTGATGTATTTAAAAATGGCGGACAGGGCTAGCTTTTTCCAGGAGAAGGTTTTGAACTTAAATAGTTGAAAACAACAACAGATTATGTCTTTTGCTAGTTCATTTCACATGAAATGAAGTGGAAAAAAAAGAAAAGAAAAATAAATTCTTTATTTTTACTAGAAAGAATAAATATATAAATATTGCAAAGAAAAAGCCATCCCTACCTTCCTTTGGAAATTGCTACAAGGTATTTTTACTCTTTTCTTCTATTTTTTTTTTTTTTTGTAGTGATTGTTGTTAGTTTTTGCCTCTTGTTGTTCTTTTAAATGAAATTAAAACTCTTGATTTATTTTTTTAAATGCATGTATTTTCTTTTAAGTGAGAGCAGAAGGGATGTGGTAGCAATTAAAATCAGGTTACCAATTCAGGACTCTGTTAATTTAAAGGGAGGTGGGATGTGGAGAAAGTGGTGTGATGGAGTTTGTCTCTTGCCCTGGTGGAGTTGAGGGCATGACCTAGAACAGCTCCATTTTAAAACTGAGCTATCATTAGTAACAGAGCAATTGAAACCAAACTTCCAATTGAACTTTAAGCCCTAGAGGAGGACCTGTTTTCTTAATGAGCGTTCTATATGCGGTCATGTTTTTTGCAGTCTGTTTCTTAATTGGGCTGTATGAGAAAGGGATTCATTTGGAATCCGAATTGGTGGACAGGTATACCAAATGGATCTAACTTATTAGCACAGAGGATGATACTCTCTTCTTAGTGGAATATGCAGGTAGATTCAATAGTTAATGATCAGCAGTCCCTATAAAACAAAAGATGAGAAACTGGCACTTTCCCTAGCTAGTATTATCCAAACTAAGTAGAAAGTTATCTTGTGAGCTGAAGGCTAGGTGTGTTCCCAGGCAGATTTACGTGACACTTCTCTCGGTGTGGTTTGCAGATACCCCGACAAGGGCTTTGATGATAATTATTGCCGCAACCCTGATGGCAAGCCGAGGCCGTGGTGCTATACTCTTGACCCTGACACCCCTTGGGAGTACTGTGCAATTAAAATGTGTGGTAAGTTAGGGTCAAATTTATTGCTTCCTTTTCCTCTCACAGACTGGATCTAAGCAGGCGATTATTAGTGAGACAGGTTAACAAGTATAAGACTTGATGCTTTAATGCGTGCAGGTTTTAATATTTTAAGAATGTGTTATATACTCCTACCCAATCTTTTGAATTTTCAAAGAGTTGTTATTTTGGAAAAGGTTAATACATTAATGCACACATATATTTAAAAAGTATTTATACATATGGTAAAAATGTAAACATTTTAATGTTATCAAGAAAACAACAACAACAAAAAAATAGCAGAGAAAACGACCAGGGAATATGCAGAACATTGTAAAGTCATTGGGATACTAAAAATTGGAACTTTGATTCTTACCTTCTAGTCCTGGATCCTGGATCCTTTCTCTCCCTGTTCTCCCCAGAGACAGGAACATTAGTTGTGCACTGGCTGTGATCCTTTTGATGAATGACAAAGGCGGCAATGAGGAAAGCTGAGTTTAACAGCAGAAATTTATCCAGCTCTCCTGAATTTATGCCCAAAAGTTAGTTTTCCTACTCTTCGTGTCCCTTTAACCTTAGATATGTAGTCCTCTCTTTCATGGGTAACTCCCATGTTTTTGCTCTTTGAAATTATACTGGAGACTAATTAGATATAGAGTTATTTTTTATTTGTTTTTACGAATAGAGCTCTTATCTTTTCAACTAGAAACTAAAAGCTTTAAGATCAATAGAGCTGTATAAACGTATTAAGATGTGATAATGCATAAGATGGCATGATAACTTTGCATGTAGGCATCATAGAGAGATAAATATCAGCAACACGAGGTCAGGGACCAGAAGCTGAAGTAACACAATTATGAGAACATGGACAGATATTTGCATATTTTCCTATAGCAGCCTGATGTGGTTAGTATTCTGAAGAAACCTAACTCAGTATTATTCTCGCTATTGTGCTGTCAAGGTGAATCTCTCTCTCTTTAGCACTACTAATAAATGGAAATGTTTTGGGCAACTCATAAAGACCACAGAAAGGCGATGTGCATAGCATATGTGAAATAGCTTCAGAATCTGAAAACCTCTCAGAATGAAACAAAATGTTCCAGGGAAACTGAATCATCTGCTTTATCCTTTTTTTAAAAAAAGATGACTTGGTGACAGTGTTGCTCTGTATAGATCGGGTTCCTTCCACTCATTGACTTGTTTAATCATATTAATCTCTCTGTCATTCTGAATCAGTTAGGTTCAATAAACCAACTGTTTCCATTCTCTCTCTCTCTGTGTGTGTGTGTGTGTGTGTGTGTGTGTGTGTGTGTTTGGTACTCTTATAACTCTTGTATATAATAATATAAGAATAAGCACACATGTTCACATGCATGTTCATCCTATAGCATGATTATACTCACAAAGATGTCCATACTGCCCTTCTCTTTGGTTCTCAATGAATATTTCAGATATTTTTAAAAGAAATTGGGAGATAAAAAAATAAAATGAATGTGACACTCCTAAATATTAAATAAGTTTCTTTTCTGTCTAAAGGGGAATTGGCGAGTTATGTAAGTAACATGCGATAATTCTGATGGCTGTGTTAAGTAGAGTGTGGTGCTTTTAGGATGTTACTTCTAATAAAATAATATTAGAATTTGTGAGCCAAACCTATGTCTTTCAGATTAAAATAATCTTCTGAGCTTTGAAAACGTTTAAAGATGTATTTATTGAAGGACAAGTTTTAGTTTAAGAATTATTTGATTGCTCATTTAGAGATTGGAAAAGGCTATTATTAAAATATTAAAATAAACTTGACATTCTAGAAATTCTGAGAGATAAGTTTTTTAAAAGTATTATAATTACACATAGTTTGGGGGTTAATTTTGCTAAATTATACATTTGATCATAATACTCATTCTTCCCATTTCTGCTTCTCCTCCTTCCCATTATTTGCTTTCTTCTCCTGATCTTCCTTTCACTCCTTTATTGATTTATTTTGCTTCATAATTTCTACATATACATAAAGGTGAAATTCTCTTTGATACATTTATATATATGTATAACATGATTTTGTTAAATTTGTTCCATTGTTTCTTTCCCTTTCCCATCCATCCTCCCTCCCTCTTGTTCTCCCACTTCTATTCCACTGATCTTCCCTCTAACTTTAGGATGTTCAATTTCCTCCCTTTTTGCTCTTTCCCTGTTGTGCTCTGGCTTCCACAAAAGCATGAAAACATTTGACACTTGATTTTCTGAGTTTGGCTTATTTTACTTAGTATGATTTTCTCCATTTCCATCCATCCATTTATCAGCAAATGCAAATATTTCATTCTTCTTTATGCCTGCGTAAAACTCCATTGTGTGTGTGTGTGTGTGTGTGTGTGTGTGTGTGTGTGTGTGTACGTGTACATGCTATATTTACTTGATCTGCTCATCTACTGATGGGCCTCTGAATTGATTCCATAATTTTGCTGTTGTGAATTGTGCTACTATAAATATTGTAGTGGCTGTATCATTATAGCATGCTGATTTTAGTTCTTTTGGATGACTATTGAGGGGTGGGATAAATGAGTCATATGGTGGTTCCATTCCTGTTTTTTTTTTTTTTAATATGAGAGAGAACATTTTTGAATAGTTTTTCAAATTTTTTGGCTTACATATGTAATAAATCCTCTAGTGCAAAACTGAGAAATATGGTGGTAGTTTCAATCATATGTTAGATTTATGTAGTGATAAATTACCAAAAACTTAAGAGTCTTAAAACAACTTAGCTGTATTATAATATTGCATTTGTGGGTCTGGCATTCAGTGACAACTCAAGTGGATTCTCTGTTCAGGTCTTGCAAGGTCATAATCAAGGTGTTTACCAGACTTGTGAGCCAATCTAAGACTCAACATCTCATTTCAAGTTCACTGATTATTGGCACAATTCAGCCACTTGTGGATGTAAGGATGCACAAAGCCTGCACTCTCTAGACACTTCCGACATTTCCTGACACATGACCCTTTCTGCAATATGTAAGTTTACTTCTTCAAGGCAAAAAGGATATTATCTCCAGTGCCTTGGGCTTCTGACCTCTATAAACTTTTTTTTTTTTCCCCAAAAGCTCACCTGATTAGGTTGGGCTCACATAGTTTAGTATCCCTTTTGATTAACTTAAAAATCAATTTATAGCAACTATAATTATACATGCAAAATTTATTCACCTGTGTTGGTGTAAAGAAATCTAATGATGAGTCTCCTTGTATTTGATCTTATGGTATTCACAAATATCATCCACACTTAAGGGGAGGTGATTACACAGAACACACATGCCAGTGGGTGGGGATCTTGGGGGCCAATTGTAACAGACAATTGGTTATCTGATTGCAACTGATTATTTTGTATTATTAAATTCTTGAAACAGCATTCAGATTATCATTTAGTCTGGACTAGCTAAACTCATTCTGGGTTTTCAATATGTTTGAAGAAAATAATAGAGTTGCTAATTGTTTCACTTATTCTCTTGAAAGTTGAAGAGGGGCTTTAAAACTTTTTATTCATAATTTGTTATCGTTTATTTTTAAAAATAAGGTGATTTTATTTACAAAAGGGGTGCTTTCCTTTGAGTGTTAGTAATTCTTATTTTGATTCTACAAAATGGTTATGAATAGTAAAGAATAGGTAGAATAGCCTCATGGTATTTAAGATATGGCAACTAGGTTGACGTGGGTAGGTTGTAGGGTAACAACAGAAACTGGAAGATGATTAGAAAATCTAAACTGACAAGGCAGATAGAGCAGGATCCAAGAGTAGCCAAACAGTTGTCATGAGAAACACAGAGAATAAGCAGGAGGAGTGGACACATCTGACTTATGGTGTAGAATTGTGGTCCTCAAACTGATGTATGTGAAACCCAGGGAACAAAAAGACTCTTCCAGGGGTTTGTGGTGTGGACTTATGATGTAGCTTTTTTATCTACATATGAATTATTTCCCAAAGTCCTCAGCATGAGATGCACGTGTTCCTCAGAAGTCCGGAAAGTTCAACACCTGTTTTCCCATCCATATTGCGCTTTCCTGCTTTGCTGGATAAAGTGAGATTTCTCATTCCTCTCAAATTCTACTATAGTACATTGCCCTGGGTTATAAAAACATTAGGGACTAAAACAGATATCTTTGAAAATACATTAAATATATATTCGTGCTGTTTGTCATTATGAATCACTAATAGTTGTATAACTCTATCCAGTGAATCTACAAATATGCACATATGTGCTTTTGTGTGGGGTATGTGTGTGTGTATGTGTGTGTATGTATGCAAAGGCATGCATTTATCTCTTAGAAATGTGTGATCACAGGAAATTCTAAAGTTTAATTGCAATACATGAAAATCTTTCAGAGCACTAAGATGAAGTGAGGAATAAAAGACTCTCCAACATAAAATACACAAAATAAAGGTCAGTAAGAAATAGAGTACAAATTAAGGGAGTCAGCAGTGAGAAAAACAAGATGAGGAAGGATATGAACAGTACTAAAGAGGTAGAATTTAGAAGATATAATGGAAAATTGGATATAAAGGGAAATGAATAAGGAAGAAGAAAAGTTTAAAATATTTTCCAAGTTATTGGATAGATGAATATATTAGAGGCATTGTTTTGAGGGGAAATATAATGTTTAATTGTGCTTATGTTGAGATGGGGTGCTTGGCATCTGTGTACATAGAACATGTGGGTTTCACTTTTCTCTGTGAAGTTGTAGAATGTGAAAAGTAAACAGTGACAGCAAGAACCTTGTGCAGGAGAGCCCAGCAAGCACATAAAGAACATGGAGAGGGTGGTTTGTCCCTTTCTGCAGAGCACCCATTCAATCAGTATTTGCTGAGCAGTCATTACAGATCAAACAATTTTCTAGATCCTGGGGATATAGAAATGTACAAAAGGGATCAAGGGCTATGAGAAATTTGAAATTTCAGAACTTTAAAAAGAACTAGTAAAGAAAAGCTGACACATTCTTGATACTGAGATAGTCATACCTTTCAG